AGGTAAGGAAAGGCAAAAATTTCAAAGTTCTCCATGAAAGGGAAATGAAGTCTTGGCTCTGAGGCAGTCTGCCTGCCAGGCTGAAGGGTACCTGGGAGGCTGGAAGCTCAAGCTTCCCAGTAGCTCACCAGGTGAGCTGTCAAGAAATTAGGCCGTTTTCTGAAGTTGCTTGTGTCCAATTACAACTCTGTCTAAATCAGTCTGTCCCCACCAAACTTTTTAAGTTAGACAAATCAGCATTCTGTTATGGAAGAAGAGTCTTCCGTCAGAGAATTTCTGACCAGCTGTAATTCTGGGTATGTTCAAAACAGTGGTGGTGACCTTGGTGGTGTATTTTTCTGCTTCTGTGTCTGTCCTTTTACTGTGATCTCCCCTAAATTGCAATGGGAAAAAAATCCCCCCAAAGTACATACTACAACCCTTTCCTTGCGGGGAAAAGTTTTACATAGTATGTTGGCATAGTTCCTCAATAAGTTGAACATCAGAAGCAGTACCTGTGAAAGCCAGTAAAAAAAAAAATTAAGATGAAATACTATTGAAGTTAAATGGGAGTGTGACAGGTTGTCACCCCTGGAGTGTCGTCTGGGAGAAGGTAGAATTACTGTTGCTGTGCCCCCTAACCATTCAGCTGGGCTGGCCTGTCACACTGTTCTGCTGGTGACACAGCCAGGCACTCCAGGCCCTGATATCACCCAACATGACAGGAGGTGGCGCCACACACCCAACTGAGCTACCTGAGTGCTTTACCTAAGCCACTCAAGGACAAACAGGAGACAACAGCCAATGTCCCTGCTCCCCAGCCTTGCAGCCCTGCTGGAGTATAAACCCAGAGTTGGACCATCTTACACTGTACAGGGATCTGTACAATGCAAGCTCATTAATTCGCTTCCCCCTCAATGTCGGAATGATATGCAACAGCCTTTGTTTACAGAGCTGAGATTTTCCCAGACACTTTACTCAAAACACACCAGTTACAATAAAACAGAAAACAACTTTATTAACTAGAGAAAGATAGATTTTAAGTGATAGCAAATAGATCAAAAGCAGATGACCTAGCAAATAAATAAATAACACAAACTAAGACTAATATACTAGATAGATAGGATTTGAATTAGCAATTTCTCACCCTGACAGATGATACAAGCAGTCAATCAAGTTTCCTTACACGGTTTAGAAATCCCTTTAGTCTGGGTCCAGCACTTACCCCAGTTCAGTCTTTGTTTCTCAGGTGATTCCAGGAGTTCTCTTGTGTGGGGAGTGAGGCCCCGAGATGATGTCACTCCCTGTCTTATATAGTTTTTCCATTAGGCAAGAATCCTTTGTTTCAAGCTAAGTTCCCAGGCCAGTTTGTGGAAAAATACAGGTACCAAAATGAGTTCAGTGTCATATGGTCTGGTCACATGCCTTGCCGAGTCATAGCAGCCATTATTCATAGGCTGGCTGAAACATGCACAGGAAGGCTAAGCTCTTCCATGATCCATTGTCTTTGTTGATGAGCCATTAGCACTGTCTAGCTTCATTGTTGTACCTGAAAGACTAGTTGTGTATTACCCAGAGTAAGCCCATTTGAAATACAGATACATAGTCAATATTCATAACTTCCGATACAAAAAATGATACATGTTCACAAATAGGATAATCATATTCAGCATTTTTCAATGACACCTCACATGACACATCTTGTACAAAATGCATCATAATCCTATCATCATACCACTATGATGAATGTGCAGGTGGCAGTTGTCACAGGGAGTTTTGCCAATGGTTTCAATAAGGTTAGGATTTCACCCCATTAATAGATTATTGGGGTAAATGTATGTGTATTCCAAGCCCAAATCCTGCCCTTATATACATAACACATACCTCTCTACCATGTATGGTGAATTTCGAGTTTGAGGAATTGCTAGACTTGTGCTCTTTATGGTAGTTTAGGTCAAACAGTAAGTTGTTAGATATCTTCAGGAAAATGTAGCTTTTAGGAGAATCTGAATCTTCTTCCTTTATTATGGCAGATTTCCACAGAGCCTTGTTTGATCAAAAATGGATGTTTTTCTTAACAAAGAATTTGTTAGGCTTATATTGCATTGCAATTCAACAAAAGAACATGAGCCAGTTTAATAAGTGTAAATTATTAAGAGAGTTTGCAAGGATTAATTTATTGAGTTACATATGTCTAGCCAATGGGGAGCAGACTGGGCACAGAAGGTTTTTTATACACTAAATCAGAGGAGCAGAATCTTACACTAGGTGTCATCATGTTGATTTCTGAACTCTTCTGTTAAACTTTTGTGGCTTGATTTTTCAAAAGTGTTGAACATACTCATCACCCATTAACTTCAGTGAAAATCAGGCCATTATATTCCCAAAATAAGCAAAAGAAGTGTCCATCCTTATCTGTAAATAAACAGAATGTTGGTTAAACATGATTGTCAGATTTTCCATAAATACCAAGACACAACACTGAGTGTTACTCCATGGTTGGTACTTGAACATAACATTAATTAGAGGAGGTAATTAGCCCACTTATTTGGATGTGTTGAATCCTGCGTACTGTGTTAGCATCTAATGAATAATGATAATAGTCCCTGTCGGAACTGGTTGGTGGCCACCACAACCAGGTTTGCTGGAGGGATCTAGCCTCAGAAGCCAGAGACTGGATTATAATAAGGAGTCAGTCAAGCAATAAAAAAAAATAGATGATCTATGTTACAGCAAGCAAGCAAGGCAACTAGGAGAGAATTTGTGGTGTCTGAGGAGCCAGGGGGACAGGATTTATAAGAGGTCAGTGTGCAGAAATGGTTGGGAACATATTGGGCTTGGGGAAAGGTGGCTAGATGAGTTGAGGGTCAGTCCTGAGTTTGGAAGCAGGTTGGGCCATAAAAGGAAGCTGAGAAACAACTCATCTGTTCTTTAGGATCACACTTTTACAAAACGCATCCATACATAACATATTAGGGCTTATCAGTACAAGGAACAGAGTTGAGTGAATAATTAAAGATTACTTATTTATTAATTGAATTTATCCTGTATTTACCTGCTCATAGAATATCCACAGACAGTTTGGAAATTTCTTGAATTCATCTTTCAAACTCATTTGAGTATATTTTTTGCATTTTCCCCCCCTCGTTGGACTGATGATCAGCAATTCTCTGTCAATTTTAACTATATTTGAGCTGTGTTGCTTAATTGTGAATAGGTCACATACATTGCAAGGGATTGTTTCTGTTCTCTGAGTGGATTGCATTTCAGGAGCAAAGACTCTGGCATACGAATTTCAGTGAAATAGTTTCCCATGAATACTCACGTACAGAAGTTTTTGAAATTTGTATTAACTGAGCTTGTAAAACTTGATCACGTTAACTTTTATGGAAAGCAAACAAAAGGAGCATATACATGGATACAATTATTTAATGAGAAAAAATTAAATGGATATTTGTGGAAAGCTTTCTTATGCATTATTTGTCCAGATCTAATATTGAAACTAAACTAATACCCACTAGGACATTCTTTAATAAAATACCGAGAGCATGAACTTTAATCTGAACTCAAAAAATCAGTCTTATGGTATCAAGTGCATGTGCTGCTCGAAAAAATGGCACTGTTTTAAATCTACCATTCTCTCTCTGACGGTTGATCAGTGATATTTTTCATGTTTCTAATATATGTCAGTATAAGATCTCAGACAACTCTTCATATTGGAAATTTTTCATTTAATCTATTAGAGCAGTTCTGGTTTGCTACTTAATGAAGTGGAAAGTATGTCACCCACTGACTTTTCAGCTGTGGCATGCAGTCAGTATCATGCCTTGCCACACAGTCATATCACATCTACAATGTGCCGTTTACTTTACTGAGGAGTGTGACATAACATTCTTGCAATTCCTACCACACAATGTTGCTGGATCCTGTACTCTTACTACAGGTCTATGGTATTGCTGCACTGTATAAGAGGTTTGGGGGTGTGTGTGTGTGGGGGGGGAGATTAGGAATTTTTGGTTTTGTTTTAAAAGTCAATTATTTAGATGCTGCACTTTTGTTCTCTACAATCCCTACCATGGATACAATTCTTTCTGTAATTACTAATGTACTAATAATTGGGGAAAATTTGAAGAGACCCCCTGCCACAACATGTGTGCGTGAGATCAACAACAAGGAAGCATATGATGGCATGGGCTGCAATAACATTTTTACTGTTATTTGTTTGAGAAGACCTGAATAACTCACTTGGGGCACTCACAAGTAATGCACTCATTTTAAACTTGTGGCAAAAAAAGAGTTTTACAGCACCTTGCACAATCACGACTATATTACCTCTCGCCTCCTATTTTAGGCATTTGTCTCTGAAGTGAGCAAGTAAGAGACAGAGCTGAATTTTTGCTTAAAATTGAGAGCGAGAATATGCTTTTTTTTCTTTTTTTAAACATGAATCATGCAAGAATCTCAAATGGTAATAGTGTGCATGTACACGGATATCCATTAGGCAATAGAAAATGGCTTAATTAGTGCTTTGGAGATTTTTTGCTTCAATAATTCTCACTGGAACATTGTAGAAAAATAAAGGACTTTGATCTTCTATGCTGACAATGCTATCCTATAGCAGATAGGAATAATCTGAGTGCATCTGGGACTTTACCATTATAATCAAGACTCTGGACAACCCTAATTACATTTCAAATTGTTGTGTTTTTGGCAGCATCAAGTTTAGAAACCACAGTAGTATCAGACTTAATGCAGATATACTATCCATATCTTGGTATTTAAATTGCTTCCCTTTTCTTGGCTTTACTGCGTCACATATTCTTTACATTGCACTTCTGTTTCAAACAATACTGATACCCAATTCAGGATGACACACAACGTTTTATGATTGTAAGAGTGAGATTTAAAAGGGAAGGTTATCGAAGTATTTTCATCAAGATTTTCAATGCCATGGGAAAATATTATGAGCCTCAATAACACTAAATGTTTACTAAGTGGTGTGTGTGCTGCTTTCTTTTTAGGATCTGGGAGACCGGTGGGCAGCCATTTGTAGATGGACAGAGGATCGCTGGGTCCTTCTACAGGATATTCTTCGGAAGTGGCAGCAATTTGCTGAGGAGCAGGTACATAGTGTTAGCAGTTATAAACCAGAACATTGTTCAAAAAATTGCACTCTGAATGGTCTTACTGAAGGCTTTTCCTTCTCTTAATTTCTTTCAGTGCCTTTTCGATTCATGGCTTACAGAGAAAGAGGATGCAGTGAGCAGGATTCATACAACTGGCTTTAAAGATCAGAATGAAATGCTTGCCAGTCTGCAAAAGTTGGCTGTATGTATTTCCCCATTGTTCAGTTTTTTGTTTTGCTTTCCTCATTCGTGAGTCTAACTTCACATCTGGGTTCATCCAATTGAACACTGAACATCCATGTTTCTTGGGATGACTGGTATCTGGAGAGCATGGAGTCCTCAACTGGTGCCTGATTTTGCTTATGAAAGAGCTACATTTGTGCCACTTGACTTTGCAACCTTAGTAGTGTTCTCTGAACATATTTTTGTCTGTTATATATACATTTACAACATTAATATCTAATTTGTATATATGTGTATATATAAAATAAATACACAACTTCCATTCACAATGTTGTGTTGTATGTGTATAGTTTATTTTATATAAATAAAATCAGACACAAAAATATGTTTAAAAACACTATTAAGGTCACAACGTCAAAGACTCAAAAGTTAGGAAACGCCAGATTTCAGGGTGCCTGTATGCCATAATTCAGCCCTCTTGTGAGTATATATTATGATATAGTCTTGAATTACATGATCACGTACTATTTTTCCGCAGAGGACTCTTGCCATATTTAGTGAATGGGTAGTTAGTTATTGACTATTTCTTTGTATCCTACTCATTCAATGGATGGGTCATGATCATATTTATTGAGCACCATCCAAACCCAGCAGAGACTACAAAATTATTAATTTACCCCTTGGCATTTTTATGGTTCTCTCACCATAGTATCTGAGTGCTTCTCAAACATCAGTAAATTTATCTTCACAACCCTCCTGGCCTTCTACCAGCTCAGTGCTCTTTCCTGGAAATCAAAAACATGCAGTTCATCATCTTTATTAAGTGAAACATACTGCTTTGCATTCTATAACTTTGTACGTGAGAGTCTTGCAATCCCGGCCAGGCTTGAGACTAGGTTTGCCAACTTTCTAATTGCAGAAAACCAAACTCCCTTACCCTGCCCTTTCTTCGAGGCCACACCCCTGTTCAGTCCATCCCCCCTCCTTCCATCACTCACTTTCCCCCACCTTTGCTCACTCGCTCATTTATTTTCACTGGGCTGGGGCAGGAGGTTGGGGTGCATGAGGGAGTGGGGTTCTGGGGTGGTGCCCGGGGTGAGGGGTTTGGGGTGCACAAGGGGGTTCCAGGCTGGGGCCAAGAGATTCGGAGTGCGGGAGAGGATGTGGGCTCCGGGGTGGGACTGGGGATAAGAGGCTTGGGGTAAAGGAGGGGGCTCCAGGCTGGGGCAAAGGGGTTCAGAGTGTGTGAGAGAACGCAGACTTTGGGAGGGAGTTTGGTGCGGGAGGGGGCTCAGGGCTGGAGCAGGGGACTGGGGGCTCTAGCTGGGGGTGTGGGAGGAGTGGTCGGGGTGCGGGCTCCAGGCAGTGCTTACTTCAGGTGGCTCCCAGAAGTGGCCAGTATATCCTTGTGTCCCCCTAGGTGCAGGGACAGCCAGGGAGGCTCAGCGTGCTGCCCTCATCCACAGGCACTGCCCCCGCAGCTCCAGTTGGCTGTGGTTTCTGGCCAATGGGAGCTGCAGAGCTGGTGCTCATGGCGGAGGCTACAGAGATATGCTGGCTGCTTCCAGGAGCTGCACAGAGCCAGGGCAGGGAGGGAGCCTCTCTTAGCCCCTCTGCGCCGCTGACCGGACTTTTAATGGCCAGTCAGCAGTGCTGACTGGAGCTGCCAGAGTCCCTTTTTGACTGGGCATTCCAGTTGAAAACTGGATGCCTGGCAACTCTAATTGAGATGCATGCTGTATCTGGATCTTGATATGTTTTGATTTTGGTGGTGCTTTCTAAAAAGAAAAAACGAGAGGCTAGAGTGACAATTCATTGTACTTTAAAAACAGTTCAGACTGGGCAGGGGCAGAGAAGAGCAACTAGGATGATCAGGGGAATGGAAGGCCTATCTTATGAGAGGAGATTGGAAGAGCTTGGCTTGTTTAGTCTAGTGAAAAAAGGCTGAGAAGGGTATATGATTTCTCTACAAATACTTTAGTGGGGTAAACACTAGGAAGGGTGAAGAGCTATTTAATCTGAAAGACAGTGTTGGCTCAAGAACAAATAGATATAGACTGTCCATGAATAAATACAGACTGAAAGTTAGAAGGTTTCTAACCACCTAAGGCACAGCCTCCCAATACGAGTTGTGGGGGCAAACAACTTAATTAGTTTTCAGAGAAAGCTGGACAAATGTATAAGTGCAATTGTATGATGGGGTTGCTTGTGATGGCAGGCAGCAGAGCTCAAGAGCCCTGTGAGACACTTCTCGTTTGTCTTACATTCCTAAATGTTCAAGCTTCAGGATTTCAGCTGGCCACTTGCAAGGGTCAAGAAGAGATTTGTTTTTCCCAACCAGTGTATTCTGGGAGGGTATTTTTATATTTTTCCTCTGAATCACCAAGGACTGCCATGGCTGGAGATGTGACATTGAACAGGGAGCACCAGTGGTCTTGAGCATTCTCTTTTTCAAATGCTTGGTTGACTGATTCTTGCTTACAAGCTCAGGGTCTAACTGATCTACCATACTTGAAGCCTGGAAGGAATTTTCCCCTAGATCAGATTGGCAGTGATCTTGGAGATTTTTGCCACCTTCCTCTGCCGTGTATGGGTACACATCACTGGCCAGGATTATCTGTGTATATTTCACCTAATCATTTCCCTGCCATTGTGGGGGTTTGGGGACACTAAGGCACCTTGGTCCTCCTGCTCTCTGCCTGAGGCACATAATAGTCTGGTCTCCTGTGGGTTATAATACTTTGGTCTAATTTTGAGTTTAGTGTGCAGATGCTGGGTGGGTGTTGTTGGCCTGTGATATACAGGAAGTCAGACTAGATGATCTGGTGGTACCTTCTGACCTTAAACTCTATGGTTCTCAGTGTGAAATAATTTCACAAATTAACATGACTGTGCCTACAATAAGATGGAGGGGTACATTTTCACCTCCATGTTTATGCAGTGAAGGTGAAAAACTGTCTTTGTTAAAAGGAATTGTGCAAGTAATCTGTTCTTGTGCACCTACTATTTATTTAGATATGTAGAAGAACATTGGTTCATGGGTAACATAACATCCATGGAAAGCGGAGTTTTAACAGTTTACAAACTGTGAAATTTTTCAGCCAGCGTGTTACTGCTGGATTATAACTGCCTATGCAGTTAAAATAATTAAATCAATTTCAGTTATATGAAATAATATTGACTGTATTTTGTTGTCTTGTACTGTGTACAGAAATCTTTGTGTATATGAAAATTTTATGGTATTATTACTGTAAGTTGTTTCAATAATTCTCTGACATGCTTAGAATTCAACATATGTTGGCTTCACTGTGAACAAATTATAGGTATTTTTAAAATAAAATTAAAAAAAAATCTTACTGTTTGATTGTTTAAACTAATTAACGGATAACTAGCAGCTGGTCCAGAATTGATGGTAAATATCCCTGCTGATTTAGACAGTGACTAAGAATTTAATGCTCCTTAAAATATGCCACAATTTGAGACCCAAAACTCTGGCCATCTGTTATGATAACCTTAAGCATGCATAGCTGTGGATACACTGTGCTAACCCTTTGTTTTCCTTCTGTCAAACATAATTTTTCATTGTCTGAAATATACACTTTTAGTCAATACTGTTAAAGCGAATGCAGTATAGAATCTGGAAGGTATTCTTTGGAATTGAGATTTTACTTTGACTAAAACTCATTTTAGGATTATGCCCATGCTTTTACTTTATCACAAAAAAAAGAAAATTGTTTCATCTGAATTCTAGTCCTGTAACCAGTAAGTGAGCTGTGATTGACTTGTCAGAGAGTTGAGTAAAGGGCTTTCTTGTAACCAGGGCCAGCCTGAGGTGTTTTGGAGTCCCTGTGTGAGGAGAAAAATGTGAAGACAAAGTCCAGCTTTGTTCATCAATGTAGCACATTTTAGGGTTTGGCAAGTGGCCAGAGAATAGAATGGTTTGTCACAGGTTCTGAGAAGGAAGGATATCACTAATTTGCAGGAGTGATTAAAGTATACTTGTCATAATTGATTCTTGGAGGTTTGGGGTGGGGCCTCCAAGTTCTTCTTTCCTAGTTGATTAAAGATGTCATGTCAAGAAGGAGAGATTTTCCTTTGAGTAATTTTATCTAAACTCCAATTAATGGAATATACATGCATATTTGTTATTAAGTATGTGTCCTCTGGAAAGCAGTGTCCATTGACCCCCACCTGCCCTATAGAGATGAATGTTGGGACCCATTAGTAGATAAAGGGCCCCACCACCAACCTTACCCCATTCTTGTTTTTGCAACTATTGGCTGGTTAGCCAGAATCATTTGCTAGCAGCTGCAGATTCTTTATTAGATGAGACTGTATGGACATGTTTACTAAAGTCACATGGTAATTTCCATAGTTTTCACAAGATGAATGAGGCTTTCAATATTGAATTATCAATGGTACATTGGAAGTAACACTCCCTTGTTAATATCTTTGAACTATGGTAGCAGACAGGCTGAGTATCCATTCCACTGAATGATAATAGTCTTTTAGAATTAGCACCCGTCCCTGTCCCATCAGAAATCCAAGTAGGCAGGTAGGTTGTCTTAGGTGTATAATCCATCCCATCATCCAGATCATAAATGACAATATTGAACAAAACTGGCCCCTGGACCGACCCTTGGGGCACTCTGCTTGATACCAGCTTCCAACTAGACATGGAGCCATTGATCACTACCCGTTGAGCCCGATGATCTAGCCAGCTTTCTATCCACTTTATAGTCCATTCATCTAGCCCATACTTCTTTAACTTGCCGGCAAGAATACTGTGGGAGACTGTATCAAAAGCTTTGCTAAAGTCAAAGAATAACACATCCACTGCTTTCCCCTCATCCACAGACCCAGTTATCTCCTCATAGAAGGCAATTAGGTTAGTTAGGCATGTCTTGCCCTTGGTGAATCCATGCTGAGTGTTCCTGATTACTTTCCTCTCCTCTAAGTACTTCAGAATTGATTCCTTGAGGACCTGTGTCAAGGCTGCTTCCCCACTCTGAACTTTAG